GGGAAGCATGTGCAACCATACAGTGGTTACTGCAGAGCGATCACTTCCTAACAGTGAAGGGGCTTTAGGAGCAGAACACAAGGAGGTGGGGAGATGAACCACAGGCCTTCTGGAGGCCCTGGAACTAAAAGGCCAGGCCCTCTGGCAAGAGAAGATGTGAGGAATTCTTGGGGTCCCAGCTGGGGACTTGGGAGAGTCCTGGCCTCCTCTCTGCTCACCTCTCCTCCCCCACCCCCGAGCTGGCCCCTGCTCTCCTAGGGCTCCAGCCTGGAATCCAGGCCTGGCCGCTGCCTCCGCTCCCACGGTCGGCTCGGCTCGGCTCAGCTCAGCTCAGCTCAGCTCAGCTCAGCTCACCCAGCTCACCCAGCTCAGCCCAGCTCACCTAGCTCAGCCCGGTTCATCCCAGCTCAGCTCAGCTCACCCAGCTCATACCTGCTCAGCCCGGTTCAGCCTGGCTTAGCTCAGCCCACCTTACCCAGCTCACCTCAGCCCAGCTCAGCCCAGCTCGGCTCAGCTCAGCTCAGCTCAGCCATTTCAGCGCAGTTCGGCTCAGAAAGCCCAGTTCAAACAAGTTTACTCCAGCCCCGCTCAGCCCTGTAAGTCCCGCGAGCCTGGCGATTCCAGCCAGAGAGGCCAGAGCAGCCGGCCTACTTGCCTCTGCTGAGACGGCCTCCCCTGGGGTGCCGCACGCTGGGCCCGGCCTCTCCCTGCCCTCCTCCACTGGACACCTGAAGCCCGTCCCCGTCCCTGGCTCCAGCCGGCTTTTGGCTCCTGAGCAATCCGAGTTTCTACCACGCTCAGCCACCTGGTTAAAACACTTCCTGGCAGCTTTAAAGCATGAAAACATCTCGCAGGAGTCGGGGAGTGTTTGCTCCAGGGACAAGCCCATCCCGGCTCTGGCATCTCCCAGGCAGAGCTTGGGGGTCCTCCCCGTGGTACAGCCCCTTCCGCGGGCACAAGGCTTTATCCGCGTCCCTCCCTGAGCCTACAACCAGCCCCTGGGTCTAACTACATCCCCCTCCCACGATCAGGAGACACATTTTCCAAATTTGCCATTTGAATTCTGCTCTTCGGCACAGCTCATCGGAAGGCGCGTGCTGCGTCCAAGTGCGTAGCAGTGACCTAGAAGCCCGAGCGCCTTTCCGACCTGAGGTGACCGAGGTGGTGCCTGTCTGACTGGGGCATGGCGAGCCGTCTGATTGATGGTTCACGAGCAGCGGAGGCTCCTGCCATTTCCCCCCGTGCTCCCCGGAAACACAGAAAACGGACTCACTCGGACAGGCCTCTGCCCTCCTCGAGCGATCAGTCAGCCAAGAGGCCCCTTCGACCAGAAACAACCGCACCCCCCAGACCGCCGAAGCAGCAGGGGCTGCTCTCGCTTACCGGCTCGGGGCTGCTCGCGGGAAGTCCCGTGGGGTCCTTTGTCATGGAACGTCCTTCCAAATCCATGATGACTGGCCGGCCGAGCCAGGGGTGGCCGGCCGGCCCGGCGGCAGAAGCCAGGACTGCTCGTCCGTAGCCATGGTGCCAGCCGCCAGCCCCTGCGAGCAGGCAGGAGCCCTCCCGCCGTGTGGGGCTCCGCTGTCGCCTGCCTCGCCTGCCGCCGCACGGCGTCCCCTTAACCCGCCGGCGAACGCGAACGCGTTCAACGGGAAGGACTCGAGACCGTCACACACGGTTCACCTAAACCTTGGCCTCAACCGAATACTTGAAAAGAAACGAAAAATACCGAAACCAAGACGACGTTGTCAGAATCTCAAAGTGTTTCTTTATCACAAAGAGAAAACTGACAGACTTTAAAAACCGAACACTCAGCGCGGAAGCCGTGGCTCAGGGCGCAGGGAGCCTGCGAGATTAATTACCGTTCGAAGGGACAACTAATTAAAAGAAGTGCTAGGAACGCATTGATAAACAGTCCCTAGGACTGTTTAATTTCTTAAATGTCCCACTTTGAAAATGAATATAAACGAGAAGCTGATAAGCTAAGACTGAAAAATTAAACCCGAGTAGTGAAAAAAGGAACCTTCCAGTTTCTGTCAGCATCTTCGCCTTATTTTAGACGTGCAAACTGCCCAGGTGTTGTTTTGCTCAGCACACGCTTTCGGATCTGTGCAGCTGGGCAAAACCACCGAAACCACTTCTCCAGAACCAAAGCTATAAATTTGCCAACCGTGTTTTCTCGCTCCCCAAAATAGCGTCTCAGGGGCCCCACTTCCTGCCCCCGGCTGCAGGTGCGCAGCCCCCGCGGCCGCCTCTGCTCCGTCTGCTCTGAGCGCCTCTCAGCTAATTTAAAACATACGCTTAATTTATTATTGTCAAAAATCAGGCCTGAATTTTGACAATAATAAATTATCATTATTTTTTAATAATAATAATTGTTATTAAATTATAATAATTTAATATTATTATAAATACATTAATATTTATAATACTAAATAGTATTATATTTATTATTATAAATATAATAATAAATTATTACTATATTTATAATATAATAAATATATAAGGCAGTTCTGAGCAGCCTTTTCCGGGCCAGACGTGCACCACCATCAACTCCAGAAAGACATGATTCAAGGTTGTTAATAAGACTTAAAAAATTAAGGTACTTGGAAACGTCTCACATTCTAAAGTCACAATTCTCTTCACACCTTCTCTCAGGAGCCACCACCAGCAGGCCCGCCTCCTCCTCCGAGTGGCCGTTTCTCTTGGAAGCTGCACCCGGGGCTCTGGCCTCGGCGGGCCGGGCGCCCGCCATCACCGAGCTCAGACGCTCAGGTCCCCTGCACCCAGACTGCTCTCCCTGCCAGGCCGGGAGCGTCTAGAGTCCACCTAGCACAGAGCCTCACCGGCAAGCCCAGGCAGCGCGCCTGCCGTCCCCGGTCCCACAAACACTGTCGCCAGGCGCCCTCCTCACCGGCCGTGGTGCCAACGGAGAGCGTCTCCTGCCACAGCCTCACTGGCTCTGGGCGCGGGGCCCCGGCCTGTCACCCCAGTGACTCCCCCAGACGTGTGGTGTTATTCCAGTCTCAAAGAATCAGGAGGCTCCGAAGCCCCTGAACCCCGGCCGCCCACCCCGGCCCCCTGGGGGACACGTCCCATAGACCAGCTGCCGATGCCCAGAAAACCCCACAGAAAGGAGCGGAAAATGAAAGCCTGGGAGAGGCCGTCTCACCTGAGGAGACGGTGACCAGGGCCCCCGGCCCCAGGAGTCCATGCCGTAGTAACCACAACCACATACTCTCCATCCTCACCCCACAAAAACGGGCACAGGCCCAGCATTGCCGGAGGCCTCCCGGAGGCCGGCCCCGGGCCCCCGCCAGCTGCTCCCCAAGACTGCCGCGGAGGCCCCACACCTCAGCCTGGCCCGCCAGATGGCCGGCTGCCTCTGACTGTGACCCGGCAGCCCCCAGATGCGACTCAGAAGTCCGAGCGACGCTGACGGCCGCCGTCCCCCACAGCGGGTGCAGCAGGGCCCTGAAGCCACTGCACGTGAGGCCAGGGCCTCCAGAGGGGCCACCGGTCCTCGGTCCCCAGCCGGGCCCCCCTTGCAGCGGCCCTTTCCCCGACTCCCTTCCCTGACCTCCAAAATGCCTGGCCTCTGACACTCGACCCCCCCAGTGCAGCGAGACGGGGGAGGGGAGGACTCACCTGAGGAGACGGTGACCAGGGTTCCCTGGCCCCAGGAGTCAAACCAGTCATCACATTGTGACAACTATACTAAGACCCCGGGCAAGAACCAGTGCCCGGCTAAGGCCTCAGGTCCACCTCAGGTCACACCCAGTGGGGACAGAGGGGACTGTAGGTCCTGGACGCCAAGGGTGGCCAAGAGCCTCAGAGAGCCCAGTGTGACAGGGAGTCTGCGTCCTCTCCCTGTCCGTGACAGCACGGTCCCCTCCCGGCCCCTTTCTGAGTCCCCCAGGCCGGTCCCGGCCTCTAGACCTGAGACCCAGACACCATCCTTTTCTCCCCAAATGCAGCAAAAACCCCAGAGAGAGAGTGAGAGAGAGAGAGAGGGAGAGAGGGAGGACTCACCTGAGGAGACGGTGACCACGGTTCCCTTGCCCCAGAGATCAAAGTTATCACATTGTGACAACTACACTAAGACCTCGGGCAAGAACCAGTGCCCGGCTAAGGCCTCAGGTCCACCTCAGGTCACAGCCAGTGGGGACAGAGGAGACTGTAGGACCTGGACACCAAGGGCAGCTGAGACCCCCAAAAGCCCAGTGTGACTGACAGGGAGTCTGCGTCCTCTCCCTGTCCGTGACAGCACGGTCCCCTCCCGGCCCCTTTCTGAGTCCCCCAGGCCGGTCCCGGCCTCTAGACCTGAGACCCAGACACCATCCTTTTCTCCCCAAATGCAGCAAAAACCCCAGAGAGAGAGTGAGAGAGAGAGAGAGAGGGAGAGAGGGAGGACTCCTGAGGAGACGGTGACCACGGTTCCCTTGCCCCAGAGATCAAAGTTATCACATTGTGACAACTACACTAAGACCTCGGGCAAGAACCAGTGCCCGGCTAAGGCCTCAGGTCCACCTCAGGTCACAGCCAGTGGGGACAGAGGAGACTGTAGGACCTGGACACCAAGGGCAGCTGAGACCCCCAAAAGCCCAGTGTGACTGACAGGGAGTCTGCGTCCTCTCCCTGTCCGTGACAGCACGGTCCCCTCCCGGCCCCTTTCTGAGTCCCCCAGGCCGGTCCCGGCCTCTAGACCTGAGACCCAGACACCATCCTTTTCTCCCCAAATGCAGCAAAAACCCCAGAGAGAGAGTGAGAGAGAGAGAGAGAGGGAGAGAGGGAGGACTCACCTGAGGAGACGGTGACCACGGTTCCCTTGCCCCAGAAATCAAAGTTATCACATTGTGACAACTACACTAAGACCTCGGGCAAGAACCAGTGCCCGGCTAAGGCCTCAGGTCCACCTCAGGTCACACCGGTGGGGACAGAGGGAGAGAGGACTCACCTGAGGAGACGGTGACTGGTGAGCCCGGGCCCCAGACACCGAAGTACGAGTAGCACACCGCCCTCCCTGACACGTCTCCCTCACAAAAACCCCGCTCCCCGCGTGTGAGACCAAACTCCACGCCTGGCTTGGCACACAGCGTCCGGCTGTCCCCAGGTCACACACCGAGTGCCTGACTCGCCAGAGGAGGCGGCGCCCGGGCGCGGCCCAGTGAGCTGGCCCCGACACGAGGACTTGGAACCCTCCGCAGCTGTGTCCCCCGGGGCCCCCGGGAGCTGGAAAGTCGCAGCCCACCCATGTCCCCGCAGGCTCCGTCTTGTCCTCAGTCCCCCGGCCTGAGTTCTGACGTCCTTCCTGACACCGACTGGCTTCGGTCTCACCAGGTCATGTTTCCCAGCTCACCCCTCCCGACTCCTGAGCCAGCTGGCCCCCAGCTCCCAGGCTGCGGCCCACGCCTCCCCTGCACTGTCCCTCGCCTGGCACTGGTCCCATCCTGCCGGACCCGCTCTCGGACGGTTGGCCCTGGAGCATGGCGCCAGCTGCCCTGGGGCCGGCAGCCAGGTTTTGGTAGAGCTGTCAATCACTGTCTCAGGTGGCACTGTGGTCCCCAGCTTAGCCCAAACCCACGCTGGCTGAGGGTGAGGGCGGGGGGTGGGGCCAGAGTGGGGAGGCCCCAGGTCCCCAGGGCAGGCTGCAGGCTGTGCCTCAGGCCCGCCCATGTCCCCCCGCCTGCTCTCAGCAGCAGAGAGGCCTCGTGCCTGGCGGGGGCTGGAGCCCCCAGTTCACTGCTGACCAGTAGGGCAGACACTCCCACTGCTAGGGCCAGCGGCCGGGGGGCGGGGCTGCTTTCTCTCTCTGGTCCCATCTTGCTAATTCTACCTGTTCACCGTCCCTCGCAAGGGCAGGCTCCTCCAGCTCCTGACAGCGGCGTGCCCACGAGGGCAGGTGCCTCCCAGCCTCCTCAGTCTGTCTGCGAGTCCTGGGGTGGTGGGGAGGGGGTCGGGAGGGCAGGCAGGGGGAGGGGCACGGCAGTCTAACGCAGAGGGTCTCACTCCCCCACAGCCACACAGGCTGCTCTCCCCCTCGCCTGAGGGGCGAGGCGGGGTCACACCTGGGCTGGGTGCTGGGACTCACGGAGCACCAGGCGTGGACCCTCAGGGAGACGCACACAGGCTCCCATGGGCCGGGCATCAGCCTAGCCGGGGTGCTCAGGTACAGGCCACTGCTAGGGGGTGGTCAGAGGGCCAGAGACAGCCTTGGGACGGGGAGGGGGCACCCTGAAGTCTTGCTGGGGGAGGGGAGCACATTGAAAAGCCTGCGTGTGTGACTGCGCACAGTGTGTGAGTACATGTGTGTGCATGCGTACACGTGTGCGTCTGTGTGAGCCTGTGCGTCCGTGTGCGTGACTCTGGATGGAGGGCCGGGCCGGGCCGTGACCCAGAGCCTGGGCTGTGTGCTCGGAGAATGCCAGTGGCTGCATTTAAAGGTGACCCGAGCGCCCAGCAAAGAGGCTGCAGGCCGAGGGGCCTGTTTAACGTCTCGCTCTAGAAGGTTCTGTCTGGTGTAGATCTGGCCTGGGCTGGGGTCCAGGGCAGGAGGCCGGGGAGCTGAGAGGGGTCAGGGAGCCCATGGGATGGTGAGCAGGGTCACGGGGGCAGACAGCAGCTCTCCTAGGACTTGGGACAAAGAGGGGACCCCTGCCCCCTGCAGGGTCTTGGAAATGGGGAGATGTTGCTGGGGGAGTGGGTTGCAGCTGGGTTAGGGGGTGAGCGGACTGAGGAGTGGGCTGTGGCCTCGTATCTTCTCCCCTCTGGAGCCCTGGGTGGACGAAAGGGGGTCCCGCCCGCCTCCCCTCGTGGCCTGGGGTCCTGCTCTCTGGGGGAGTCAGTGGCCCTGCCTGCCGCCACAGTGCATGGGAGTGGCTTGCAGCTCATGGTTTCCTACAGCCCCCAGCCCCTCTCTGCAGCCTCTTCCTGCTGTGGCTCTGGGGCATCCTGTCTCCTCACCCAGGGCCCTCAGGAAGCACCTGCCTGGCTCTCCAGCTCCTCCAGCTCCTGACAGTGGAGTCAGGGGCCCTGCTAGCCCCTCTTCTCCAGCTGGGAG